CTTGCAGGATGATTACAATGTCTTTTTTTCAAACACATGGATTTTCAAACTGGGAAGTGGTGAACGCCCCTTCTTTTTTCGCCACTATGTAGATTCATCCACACCGGCCGGTCCGGCTGTCGTCACACGTTCGGTGGACCTTTGGGACCGTGGCCAGAGCGCCAGGCTGCAAGCTGGGCGTGCGCTCGGCCGAGGTCGAAGTCTCTGCGCTGATCCCTGAGGCGGTGGGACCGGTGAGTCGGTGGGACCGGTGGGACGGAAGAACGATGCGGGGGAGGGAGTTCGGTGGTGTGGGAAGTTGTGGAAATGGTTGATGGTCAATGTACGTGCATGTGGCCGAGATTGGCCAAGGTGTATATAAGCGATAGGATGATATAGATGATATGATGGTAGAGGCAGATGAAACATGATGAGCCGAAAAAGCAAATAAAGATAGATGTCAAACAGTCGATTGATGTTCATTGATGTTTGACCATGTTCGGCATTCAGGGGGATAAGAACACCTGAATGGATGTTCACAGAAGCAAAAACAGCTTGCCTGGCACCAGACCAGGAGCTCCACCAAGGCAGTCGCTTCAGCCTGTCGTTCCGCACGGTTCTTCCACTCAAGGAGCTTTCCCAGTGGGCAGAAGAGGATTTGTTGGCCCAGCACTTCGATGCCGGCGTGGAGCCGGAGGTGAACGGTACGCGCTGACGCGACGAGCGAGTTTTTCGGTTGGTGCCGAAATCTGCGCGCAGCAGGGTGTTCATGACAACTGGTCTTCACAAAACATTGGACACAGAATGTTGATTTAATCCAAACTAACATGGAACCTGAGGATTGACCGGTGGAAGACCATTTTCCTCTACAACCCAGTGGTTTTGGGGTTCCATGTTAATTCACGTATTTGCTCTCTTATCGAAATCTCACTTGGACCCGACTCTAAACATGCCTTTGAAACCTCGTGTAGGTGTCTGAAGAAGCTCGAGATGTCGCTGAAATCTCTACGGCCGCAGCGGAGGCACCAAACAGAAGGATACTTTTCGATAGAACCATCAGAAGAAAGACACAATTTGTCAAAACATCATCGATAGAACCTGGATTATACAAAAAAGTAACAGGGGTTTTCGAAGCTGCTCAAATCAAGGGAGTTGTTCCAATGTCTGCTCTTGAATCCATTTTTTCGGAAGATGAATTTCAGACCATGGGGGAGATGTTAGGATCGCATGTGACACGACTTCGACTTGCCTGTGTGGGTGACTATCCTCGAATTTGATACGTGGAATTCTCATGGATTCATGTAATGGGGTATATGGTATCACAGGTTGGGGCATGTGTCAAACAAAAACAAGGCACAGCATCTCGCAGCTCATGTGAAACTGGGGGATTTGGCAGTTGAAGTGATCGAGCACCCACAACATATGTTGCGCGTGGCCCGAAGATGCCAGAATTGTAGTCACCCTGGAGATGGAGCCCAAAAACCCGAGTCTTGCCATGCCCCCAAAACATCCAAACTACCGATGTGCTTGGAACCTCTTCGCGCTCCCCGCCGACCCTTCGCTCCGCTGCCCTCGAAGGCCGCTCGCGCTCGACCCTCGAAGCGCTCGCGCGACGTGCCGGAGTTGCTCATGGACCTGCTGGGCTTCGCGGAGGCGACGCTCCGCGCGGCGGGCGCCACGGTGGAGCACGGTGTGGGAACCACGAAGCAGGTGCTGTTCACACCAAGGCGACTTGGGGACTTAGGGGGGCAGGCTTACAGCAAAGTTTGGTTGGATGGATCACCCAAGACTCTTGTTTGATCTTATGATCTTCTCTGAAGATCATATGATTCTTTAGTCATTTGATGGCGCAGCAATTCCATGCGTTTCGTCATTTACGGCGAGCTCGTAACAGTCACGGCCGGCTGCCTGGACAGATGCAGTGCCAGCTTCTTTGGCGCAGCCCGACTCGCGACGTGGAAGTAGAAAAAGGCCGCCTTTGCTCGTGATAGGTGCCATTTTCCATTCTGATGTTAGCGAGTCAGGTTGCCCTTTTTGAACTGATTGCGCTTTTTGCATTTTGAGTCGTGCGCGAATTGTCCTGAGCGTCTCGTGTTGGGTAAACAATAGGATCAGTTGCCTAATGGGTAAGGCGTTGGCTTGCATCGCTGTTTGACAGTAGCTGAGCCAACTTCTGGAGGTTCGACTCCTCCCTGATCCGATTTATTATATGTTTTTAGGTGTTTTTATTTTTTTAAATGTGTGTTTTCTTTGTTTTGCTTCTTGTTGTTCTTGTTTTCGATTTTGTTGTTTGTGGTTTGGCGTCGCCATCATTTAGCCACGCTTGGGGTGGATCACGACTCTCCACGTCATCCAGTCAAGAGAGGCCCCTGGTCGCTGCCTGTACAAGATACCGAAACGTTTCACTGATTGCACTGGGCGCTCCGCCGTTGCCAATCACTGACACCTTTTCAGGGCACGCGTTCGAACGGTCGTGTCCACGACGAGTGTCCGGAGTTTCGAGCGTCATCCAGGTGCTCTTTTTGTGTCGAGGACTCCTGGGCACACGCTCTGTTCCAAGAGGCTTTCGCTCAAGCCGCCGATAGCGCTACGTCTGCAGGCTACAAGGTGTGTGGCACAATCTCAGAGACGAGCTTGGCATAACTTTTGGCCCATGGATGGCCTGTTTGGACGAGGACGACGGATTCCGAGGTCCTCTCAAAAAAGTCCACAGCGCGGAGAAGAAAGCATGTACGGAAGATGTATGTACTGACATTGACCTTTAAACCACGATATATGATGATACATATTTATATATATATAGTTAGTAAAGTATAATAATAATAAACATACATAAAGAACAATTATATAAGTTAATTGTATATAGTATTACTTAATGCGTGAACAAATGGATCAACATCTATCTCCAAGAAATGGAATTCTCTCGGCATGTGTCATCATGACCCTCCCCGCCGACCGGAGGTGAGCGGCACTCGCTTTCGGCGTTTGCATCTCGTGGGCCGCCCCGGCAACGTCAGCGCAGCGCGGGGGCCTGGTGGGCGGAGAAGGGATGGATCGCCTCCTGAACGGTTTCCATACATCTTGGGGTGCCAGTCCATGGGGTTTCAATGATCAAGGCCTGGATTTTTGTCAGGAATTTGGATCCAAGTTGAGTGATTGCTATGAAGCCGCGGTCCAATTTGGGATGGTAGTTGTTTTGGGGGGCATGACGGGAAGAGATGTAAGAGCATAACATAAGTGCTCTCCAAATGTGGATTGGCTGAAGTTGCGTCCCTCATTTGCAGGGTTTGCCCTAATTAGAAGGTGGTTGAAGTTGATCCATTGAAGCAAATGGCATCTCACAACAGAGTGGTGTTCGGTGACCACAATCCTCATTGTTTTCGCTGTGTAAAGACCCTCGCTGTGCTAGCCCACAAGGTTTCACCTGCACACAGTGAGATCCTAGGAGTGAAACACTGGTTTCAGCATCTTGAAGCCCAAGAGTTGGGGGAGTCTTGGTGGTTGCTCTTGTTTTGTCAGTGTTGGTTGCTCTTCTTTGTTGCTCCACCCAGAATCCTGGTTTACATGGTTTGAACATGTTTGAACCCTTCACTTCCTTTGGAGTGTGAGTGAAGTGTTTGCTTTTTCAGGGGGGCTCCGATCGCTTTTCACCAACGGGACCTGATCGACGTGTCGACCCATTTTCGGCAGAACCCAAGGCCCTCCGAGCCGTCAGGCAGAGGCGCAAGTGTGATCCCGTGATCGGGGTAGGGGAAAAGCGTGTGTGCTGAAAGCGATGAGTCCCATTCTAGACTGCGCATGTTTGCAGTGGGTCAAAAGACTTTCCCAGAACATGCGAACCGAACACTGAACATGTCCTGCATCTCCTGCCCTTTCAACTTTCACCAAACAACTGGGTGTTGGTTGGTACCCTTGTGGAGGTTACGTCGCTTTGGGCGTTGGAAAGCGGCGAACATCACGGAACTTCCAGCGGTAAAGTTGGAAGAGGACAGAGTGAGCGAAAACTCTCTGGACGTGTTCTCACAATGATGCTATTAGGAGCAAAGGGCATCGCTACTAGGAGCAGGACACTACTAGGGGCTCATGGCCTTACTACTAGTAACAGTAATAAAGCCGGAGGACATCGGAGGAGCATTTTTCCCTGCTGGACATTTGCTGGCAGTTTTCGACGCTGTTTGGCAATGAAGAGCACATATACGGAACAGTTATGGTAAGGAAAAGAAGTTCACTTACAGTATCATTTGGTCCAACGCTCAGGGAAAATGTGCTTGACCAAAGGGACCAAGGACCTTTCTTGTTCCAGTTTCAACGGTCGACTGTTCGTGCCCCGCCGCCCGCGCCCGCGCTCCAGCGGTGAGGAGGTTCCCGAGCTCAAGAACTTCGTCTCCACGGAGAACGTCTTCCTGCGCCTCGACGCTGGCGGGATGCACAGATCCAAAGAGCTAACGGGTGAGCGGGGTGGGGTGGAAAGGTGTCGGAAGCGAAGATGGCCAGAAAAGCCAGTGTTCAGGTCATGCTGGTAGTTAAGCGGTCTATAGTCTATAGCAATGTGATGCAATGTGTACTAATTAGTTGAAGTTTTGGCTGAATACATCTGAATACGAACCGATTCAACTCACATTGCTTTCATCTTGGAGACCTTGTTTTTTCGCAAAAAACATACGCTGAACTTGCCACCCTCGTCACCCTCGGCGACTGCGTCCGGCCCTCTCGAGGCCTGGCGGCCCGCTTGAGCGGACCGGCGGCGGAGGTGTTAGCGCAGATCAAGGAGGAGGGGAGGAAGGGACCCGGCAGTGGCAGGAAGGGACCGGCTTGTCCAAAGGTGGGGGGGGAATACTTACATGGTGTGTTCACCTGGTTTATCTGGTTTATCTCCACCGGAATCGGCCGGCCCATAGTTCTCCTAAATGTTCTCAAAGCTTCCGGGAGATTCTGGTATCGGTCGGTGTGGGAAAACATCCGGATCCTTTGGAATTGTACCGGTAGCTTGGACTGGTGAGGAGTTGGAACTGGCTGGCTGGTGGATTGATGCTGCATCGGGAGCAACATGGAACTCTGACCGACACCACTTCGGCTTTCACCACATGAAATGTTCCAAAGAGAGGATCATCTATTCTGCAATCACCTCTTCAATGTTATATCTATAGTCTCGTCTCTGGAGAAAAATAACCCTGCAACACGACGTGTGGTTCCTTCCTTAAGACTCAGTTAGATCTCTGCCATGCTCAGCACCGGTCATCAGGACTCTGGTGCCGCCGCTCTGGTCCATGGAGAGCATGATGAAGCAGCTGGTGCCAGCTGCTTGGGTCTCAGTCCGGAAGAAGAATTGGGTGACGAATTGGGTGATCGTGCTTGATGTGGTGTGATCTGATGTGATCTGTGAATCTTTGGGCTCATGAAACTGTTAAGAGCATGGCAAAAAAGCGACGAACGGACTGGTGTAACTCACATCGTCTTTGGAGGTCCTGTTTTCGGTCGACCGGCGACCCCTCAAAGGTTCGACCGGGGTGAATACAGTATCTCTGCATCGCGGCCGGCAGCGCGGCCGGCAGCGCGGCCGGCAGCGCGATCGTGCAAAGTCACTTGCACAATTGTCCTGGTTCTGGAGATCTTAAAACCGTTTTTGCTAGCTGGAAAAATATATGCGTGTGCGCATGGCGCTGGCACATGGGCAATATGTCAATGTGGCCGCTCAAAATGGAACTTCCCTTTGATAGGCCAAGCCCAACGCCGCTGCCCGAGGTCTCGAGATTGCCGGGACCTGCTCCTCGAAGCTTCGTGCCCTCGTGGAGATTTGCCACCTTCTCCTGCACTTGCCGTTCGAAGCTCAGATCGTCACCGACCCACAGGTCGCCCCTTGCCACTTGTTGCCGGGGGGAACTCGGTGTGCGTCGTGCGGACGCCAAACGCAGACGCCAAACGTGACATCAACGGTGGTTTTTAGAAACACACACTGGCCGTGCACGGCAGGCAGGAAAGCCCTCAGGCCAGGGATCGAGGGAGAGAAGAAAGACATGGCCGATGACTGGATAGAATGGTCAAGCACACGGGATGGCCCTCCCATTCAATCCATTTGCAGGATGGCCACATGCCCTGGACATCAGAGAACGTGGTTTCTCCACGATGAGAGACCCAAAAGAAGCTTTGACACACTCTACCAATTGCATGGTACTTTTTGGTCTATCCCAGGTTTGCGAAGTTCCAGACGCAAAACGCCTGGCCGTTTCGTGTGCCTCGCGACCGGTCGCAGGTAGAGCTGTGGCTGCGTGGGGAGGGGCCCTGCGCCTTCACGCTGGAAGAAGCCTTGGCATTGGCTGAGCCTGGGAGGCTCAGTGGTAACAGGGGCAGAGACCAGCGAGTAGGTGGAATGTTCTAGATTCCTAAGGTCCTGAACCGTGCGTCTGGAGGTGAAAGGTGATCAGATGGATCTTCTCTGAGATGAACAATTTTTGAAACACATTAAAATCATTAAAGAATCTCCAGTTTGATCAGTTTGCACACACACATACAACAACTATGTGACTTGAGCTTTTTTGGTCCAATGGAATGTTGGTATCCTCCGGCTGCGTTGAGGTCCACTGCACGCGCAGGACACGCGCCAATTCATGCCGAGTCAACGACGAATCGTCCGAGTCAACGGGTCCCCAAAGAAGTCCGATCCGTTTGGGGTCATGAACACGGACGAGCTGAATCATCAGGGTGCAGGGACTTCGGCCAGTGGCCACGTATCTTGAAAAAAGGGAGATCACTGAATCCGATGGAGGAGTCGTGGAGCATGCTGCATGATTAGAGGATGAACAATCAGGTAAAATATGGCAAAATCAAGATCGCTCTATTTGGTCGTCAGCTGGTGGCAACTCCTGTCAGCTTGTTTCGATGCTTTGGGGTTGCATGTAGCATTTTCATCTTGCCCACTGCGCTCGCATCAGTTTGAAGATTGGCGGACACTTGTGCACCGTCACATTTGACGAAAGAATCAAGATTGAAATATTAGTGAAAGCCAGTGTTACAACATGTTTTCCCAATCTTTTCCGTCATGTATGTTGTTTTTGCTCCATAATAACAACTATAACTATATAGTAACAATAAGTAACAAGTATATGTTCATAATATATGGTCCTGGTCCATATCGGCCCATCTATTGATGTTCCAGTCCTCAGCCGACTCGGACATGTCCTCCGTCTTCTTTCGGCGAGGACCCCGGCGGCCCAAGCGCGTGGTCGTGCAGCTTTCGGGCTCCGCGGTGGCTCCAGCGTCTTCTTTTTTGTTTAAAGACACCGGGGGGGGGTGGAAACGCTTAGCTGGATGAGTAGGACTGGGGAAAGCCAATAACCAAGATCAACCAAGATCAAGCTAACTCATTCGGGGAAATTGATGGGCTGACCTCGCGTTGTGTTAGATTTGTTGCTTCTCTCAGTGGATGGAGGATGATCATTGTCTGTCAAGTTAATTTGCATTCACTCTGGACATGCGTTGTCCTTGTGAAGGTCCCGGTCCTAAAAAGTCAACAATCAATCACCAGACCTCAAGACTGACCGCTTGAAAGAGGCACCAGACCAAACGGGCCCACCGTCCTCGGCCCGTCCCAACTCGCTGGGAACCCGGACGTGTGTCCGGAAAGACGCCAGGCCGCGGTGGGTGCCAGCGCCGTGGCCCTGTGGCGTGAAAGCGAGCGGAAGGCTGGAGCATGTCCGGTTCGATGGGGTCCCAAAACCATTCATCCCATTTGGAGCATGTTGCATGATGTTGCATGTCCGAGTTGGGTCCCAGGAAAGTGACATGTCGTCTCATGGAATGAGACAACATGAGACGACTGTTGATCAAAGAATTCTTGCACCGCCCGTTGTGTTTTACATCCTCGAGCAGCAAACACCATGTGTCAAGACTCGAGCAGCCGGAAACCAGGCCTGGCTTCACGAGCGGAAGCATGGTCCGTCAGCCACCAAGCCAGATCAGGATCGGTGGACAGAGATGTCAGAGATCAACCCAAATGACAGATGGTCTTCAACAAGTTTTTACTTAAGGAACATTCTCAAAATAGACCAAGTCGTTGCTAGACGGAAAAAACACAGTGAGACATCGGCATGCCCCATGGTTTGGGGGTCACATTCGTGGCCATTCATGCTGAGGCCAGCCTTGCTGGTGGACTACTTTTCGAGGTGGGCTTTGTCAACTGCGCCAGCCGGTCAGTTAGTCGAATCGAAAAAGACCGCAGGTGGTTTGGAGGCGATGCCGGTCAAATGCTTCGAGAGAGGCAAGCAGAACGCCAGAAGCGAGGTGACTTGGCACAGAAAGACAGACTTGGTTTTGTAGACTTGATGGTTTGTGAGATCATCTGAGATGCTGATTTCCGGTCTGCTACGTTTGGTACGACGCCTTCGGATGCCTTCGGCCAGCTGATCAGGTCAATACGATCTCGCTGACCGTGACCAAGATGCAAAGAGGCACCAGATGCGTTGGTTTGGGCTGTCGGGTCGACACCTGGTACTCCCACATGAGCCGAGTTTTTTTTTGATATGAAAAGGCTTGTACAAGATGTAACCTCCAAAAGGCTCGCGTAGGCAACTTGCTTGGGGACGTAGGCGGTCGTAGGCATTTTATTGTGTAACGTTTGTCGTAGGCATTTGCCGTAGGCGACCGAAATAGCATACCTTGAAGTCACCCAGCTTGTGTTTTTGATTCTATTTGAACTGACAGTGGCTTTTTGTGTCTCAGTTTCTTGTAGCAGATGTGTTTCATCTCATACTCTGGGACATGAACCAGGGGCAGTTTGTAAGGACACTCAGAATGACCACCTTGTCTGCGATTGCGGCCCTCATTTTCGCAGCCGGGAGTCTTACGCTTTCTATTTGCACGACCTGCCGCAAGAGCTCAAAGTGGCAGCTGCTTGGAGGGAACATCTGTGGCAAAGGTTTGCGTAGTAGTATGTAGCGCCCTCACTTGTCACCAAACTTTTCTATTCAACTCCCAAAAAATCTGCTGCGCCTAGGTGACGGTTCACTTCCAAGGAGAACAACATGGTAAAGGCCCAGTTGACCGCTTGTTCGGATGGGGTTGCGCATGGATCGAAGACTTCCTCCAACGCAGGCCTATACATGGCATTAAGGACTTGCTTCAGTGCTACAGGTCTGGTGCCCAATATATGGTGAACAATGACCCTACCGGGCCAAAGTTCCACATTGAAGCCTTCGACCCCGGTGAGTTCCGACCTGAAACACGCACCTTTTTCCATTGCGCTGGATTCCTTATTACCAGAACATACTGCTTAGAAATGGATTTCAGCCCAGGTCGAGCTTATGGGATTCGGTTGAAAAACAAGCTCTTCAGTGATTCCCCTGGTGCAGACTTGCATGGCTGGAGCATTGCAACAAAGCGCCTTGCTGATGTGGCAGAGGATGAAGGTGACATTGAAGAGATTGCTGGGGAAGAGAATGATGCGCCTGACCCGAAAAAGTGGCGAAGAGGCTTTTGGAAGAGTGAAAAGTCCTGGGAAGGAACTGGGCCCCTGCCTGGGGTTATCAATGAAGTCGTACGCCGTCATACAGCTCAAAAGCAAGCGCCCCCACCAGTCCGGAAACCATTCCGCTCAGAAGTCGAGAAGGCCTTGTCCGCGGCAGCCCTACGTTTGCAGACATCCGCCGCCAAAAAAACGTCGACAGTCTGCTCGCTTGAGGCAACATGCCGACAGTGGCACCGATAGTAGTAGTAATTCTGATTCGTCCTCGAGCTCATCATCTGAAAGATAAAATGGTCAGCTGCTGCGTAAACCTTTCCACTTGCAAGAACTGCATGGTACCGTAGGCAAACTGGAACAGTAATGCTTCAAAACCTCACGTTCGTAGATTTCCCGTAGGCGATGTCGGATAAGTCATGTCTGCCGTAGGCTCTGACTGTGGAAACGTAGCCAAACCGTAGGGTTCTACGTAGGCACCCCAGGATGATAACACCACCACATCTTAAAAAAAAAACCTGCTCACATGTGGCAGAGGGATGAGTTGTTGGGATGCCTTTTGGCACTCGGCGTAGCCTTGTCCACGGATGTACTCCCCCCCCCCAATGGTTGGACAGCACAGTCCCAGGCCAAAGACTGCCGACGTCTTGCTCGCGGTCCAGGGACCGATGACTGCTCCGCCCGCAGTGACGGCGACCGAGGGCGGTCCGCCCAAGGCGTGGAGGGTTCCGGACCGAGCTGCCCGCAGTGGCGCCAGTGAAAGGGGCGGACGAAATGGCGAAAAAACGCATGAGTTGAGTTGGAGGCTGGTTTGGCAGATCAACAGATGAGCATGGTGTGGTGAACTGTACCTCTTGGAAATTGGGAGGTAGGTTTTGCGACCAGTTCAGAAAGGCGAGGCAGCCCCACCAGTTTTGGCCTCGTTGGTGCAACCTGCTGCGAAAGGCCGCAAAGGAGGTGGAATCTTCGGAGGATGAAGAGGTTAGCCTGCCTCCGGCCCTCAGCTTAGCCTCTAATACAATAGCCAAGCTATAGCCAAAAGAGGGCAGGCATGTATAATATAATATAGTATACAGTTTGTCATTTTTGCCTGAGACATAGCCAGATTGGATTCGGATGGCGAAAAAAGGTGATCTGATCTTTTGCCAGCTTGGACGGGTTTGACATGGGTTGACCATGGGTTGACCATGTTTGACCCGTCAGACGGCCTTCAACATGCCATTTTCGTCCACCAGACCTTCGTCCAGGACCACTGACTGGTGGTGACCATGGACACCCCTGACATCCACTTCCTGAGTATGCATGTTCCATCCAAGGACTGCCCCTTCCGTGGTGCTGCTTGTAATTATCCGTCAAATGCGTCGTTCCCAGGCCACGGCCTTGCCCCTCTTCGTCACGGAGGAGCTCGGTGTGCAGGTGGTTGCGCGGACGAGAAGCCGGGGGCGGTGGCTGGTTGTGGAACATGAACAGAATTGACTACCACGATGTTTCACGGGCTTCGGGCTTTGGTCCACACCCATGTCATGAAAATAGGAGATCACTGCACCACGCTGTTTCTGTTCAGAATGTTTTGTGCATGGAGGAGATTGTGGAAGAGAAGGAGAAGGAAGAGGAGGAGGCGGAGGTTCCCAGCGAGAAAGCTTCCAGCGAGGAGGCAGCATGTGCCCGTGTAGCTCCTACGAAGCATCGACAAGATCCGCCGTGATGTACAGGGGAATTGTGGGCATGCATCAGACGTGGTGCATAAGTGTGTTCCAAAGAAACGTCAGAAATTGATGCACCATGTGCATAGTCATGTGCATCCATTGGGTTCCACCTATTCTTTCGGTTTCTTTTCATGGTGCATCCGTTGGTTTCCATCGGTTTTTCATCCACTCCACCACCTCCACTGCCTCGGTTCGGCGAGCGAGGCGGACACGCCCCCGGCGGCCTCGCCCGAGGGCGAGGTGCTCGAGGCCGTGGGATGGGGTGGGCGAAGTAAGGCAGCCGGTTGGCCCAGTACAGCAAATGATGATGTAAGTGTTTGGCAGTTTGCAGAGGTATGTTTTTTGTGATCCAACATAGATTTGGCAGATGGTGTACAGTTATGCAGGTTGATTGCTTGACATTGGCTGGTTTCCAGCTGCAGCTTTTTAGTGGTTCCCAATATGTTCAGACACATCCATGCTTGCTTTGAAGCAGAGGGCCCATGATACCCTGCCAGAGGCGCCAGCACCGGAGTATGCTGATGGTCACCATGACTTGGTTCGGTGCCCCAGAGCAAGTCGTAAACTATTGCAAGCTGTTCAGCAAGTTGACCATACCGGATGATGATGCTGCTGCTACTGCTGCTGATGATGATGATGTCGCCAGCTTTGACTGTCGTCCATCCACCACGCCGTCTCGGCTGTGCTGCCCCGGCCAGGCGTCGGACTCCGACAGCGACTACTATCGCCCCGGGCCCGCGGAGGATCCGCTGTGGGCACGGCGCCAGGCAATCCTCAGCAAGTTGGCCGGCATGGGTTGAAACAAAAGCTGCTGAGCGCCATGGGTTGTGCCAGTGGAGCTGCTGGTGGAGATTGAAAGCCTTTGGGGTTCATAATGGTTCATAGTATGTGTCACATGTTGCACATGTGTTTCGACGGTGGCTGGAAGGTTGTGACATGGGCCATGATGGCCATGGGATGCCATGGGTATTTAGGATATATTTGTTTATTTTTATTTATATCATTATTTATCGTCCCGCCTTCGCTTAAGATGACAAAGCCCCAGACAAGCAACTAAGCCCAAGCTCAGACGGTAGGAGCCTTGCTGTAGCACTGGCCACTGTCAGACGGTACAAGCGGAGACCTGAGACGTGAGTGAGTAGCAGTCCTTTTGTTGGTTTTTGGCTCGAGCCTCTCAGAACTCATGTGCTTTCCAATGCCGATTCGAAAGGTGCGGGATTTCAGCACGACACACGTTTCACCTGCGGATGACTCTTTCCTTTGCTAGGAGGTTTTGGGCAACGTGTCCCGTTTGAGATCGTTGAGTGGTGCATATTGCTAATTGGCGGGAACATCAAACGCCCAAATGTCTAACATCATAATATATATATATACGTATCCGTATATAGATACAGTACGTATATATATATATAGTAATTAATATGTGTATAAATACAGTATACGTATACTAATATGATACATACGTCAGTACATGAAATGACATTCAGTGACACATACCGTCAGATTGCTTGACCCTGCCAGGCAGGTAGCCTACTTTTCCAGCTTGGGCACCATGACGTTCGATCGAGGGGCACCCGACGGCGCGCCCGGGCCCAGGAGAGGAACCCGACGACGCGTCCGACCGGACCGACCCGCCGCGTCCGCGCGGGGTGCAGCGCGGTGTGCTGCGCTGAGGCCCGAGGATGCGGAGTCTCCACGCTTGGTGAATGTGGATCAGGTGGGCGGACGTTTGGCTTTTTCGTTGGTGGTTGGGGGGGCAAGTTGTGCGAGATGATGGGAAATGATGGGGAGACGTGTGTGGTTCTTGTTCTTGTGTTTGAGGCAGGAGGCAAAGGAAGCAAAGGAAAAGAAGAGAAAAATGAACTTATAGAACACAACACGTTTTAGGCTGGTGGATTTGGGAGACGGGGAACTCAGATGAACGTATCGAGAATCTTGCTAGATTCACTGGGTTTTTACTTAAGCCTGACCTTGGAAGACCCCAAAACTGATGGTCTCCGCTCTTGGTTTTTTGCGGTGGTCTAGATGATTTTAGAGGTCAGGAGTGTCCAGGCTTCTGGTCGGATTCACCAGGTACCTTCCGTGCGCCCTGCTGCGCCGGTGCCTGTTGTTCCTCCACAAGGCTGGACCGACCCGAGTTTCTTCGCGTCGAAGCGTCGCGGTCGGTCGGTCGCGGGGCTTTCGGTTCCGTGGAGAACGGTGGTTTCATGTGTTCTCTTGTGAAGACCATTCGTGTCCTGGACACCATTATATTATAGAGATTGTATCACGATATATTTCATGATGTATGATGATGTATGCATGTAAATTCGATATGGTTGGAAGGTTGTATAGATGACCACCACTTGGCAGTTTGACTTACGGCAAACCTTAGTCGGCGAGTTTGACGTCCCGCATCAATGGAACGACCTGGACGAGCCTGGAACGATCAGTGAGCTATCCAAGGAACCCTTATCAGGCCTCAGGGTCCAGGACCATCCGTGTAGCTCGGAAGTCCTACTGTTGGTTCGACCTGAGCCTCCGTTCGACCCTTCAAAGGAGGCACCGAAATACCGTACGGTACCTGAAGACCGGGATCCTACACTGGATCCACTTCTACTACCTTCCGGCTTTGGGACACCCCGAATCACCTCTCAAAAGGCTAGACTAACTTTATCTAACTATAGACTATGATGAGAGGTGGGTTAGATCCAGGTTGCTGACACCCTCCATATGACTAGACACCTTTTGGAGGGTCGTAGATGCGTCGCTCATGCCGTGGCCCACCGTCGCTGAGGCGACCGCTACGAGGAGCGTCGCTCGGACCTCCGCAACGTCCCCTCGGACGCCTATGACTCGTCTGACACAGAGCTGGGGGTCACTCCAGCCATTTCTTTTGGGATATGGGGTGGGTATTGAAGTGGTGAAGTGGTGCGAGGTTGAATCATGTTGCTGGCAGAGCTGTAAAAAGGATTTCACCATCCTTTTTGATGGAGAGTGGTTATAGACAATTGAGGAGACGATAAAAGACTCTTCAACTCAGCTCGTGATGGGAGTTGCCGGTGGAGATCACTTGCAGCCAGGCTCAATTGGGCCCCGTCCCCGAGTCTCAGGCAAGGTCCTCAGCCGCCTAAATGCCTCCTTTGGTGAATCATCCAACAGCTGGACACGCCCCAACTGAAGGGAAAACACATTTTGCCTGACTATTTTTTGTAGATTTGTAACGAGGCAGTCGATGTATGGAATATTTGCCTGCATGGATAGGATGGTTGATTTCTGAGGCTTTGAGGGTCAATCTACACTCCGACTGAATCACATGGACATGTATTCGGACCATGGTCTTCACAGAACCCCCCCCCCGCCCATGGTCTTCATGTGAGGTGTTCGTCAGAGTGTGATTCACCTCGCACGTGTCTTCCACAGGTGCATTTCCCACCACCCGTGGGCCTTCATCGGCAGGCTCGCCAGGCGCGTGAACGCGGCGTGAAATCCGCAGAAGGGCCGAAACGTTCAGTTTGTGTGTTTCCTTTTTCTTTTAAGCCCCCCGTTGCCCTCATCTTTGATTCATTTCTTAATTGCTTTGCTTCGAGTGATCCCCACATTTCAACCGTTTGTATTCATGCCATGGTGAGGAACATGTTGCCATGGTCGGGGGTTTTGTGATTCTCGATTTTGTGGGTTGTGTTGGTCTTGGGGAGTTCGCGTCGGGGTGTCGCCAGGGTCTCCAGTTGGCATCCAAAAGTGCGACCCTGTGACCACCTGCCACGCAAAATGCCACACCTGCAGGTAATTAGCAGCAATTATATTGCTGTAGTGTTGTGTTGTGGTGTGTGCTGTGGTTTTGTGTTTGTGGCTGTGTGTTTGTGGTTGTGTGTTTGTGGTTGTGTGGTTGTGTGTTTGTGGCTGTGTTGTTGGTTGTGTGGTTGTGTGGCCGTGTGTTGGCCGTGTTGTGTGGTTGTGTGAATCTGGCGCTTGCTGAGCGGAGTGGAGCGGAGAGTGGAGTGGAGCCATGGCTTCTAAGACCGTGGTCCAAGACCTACTAGCTTCTTGCTACTAGTAGCAATGCACTTGTTACTACTAGTAAGGCACCTGTTACTAGTAGCAATGCACTTGTTCCTAGTAGTAGTAAGGCACCTGTTACTAGTAGCGATGCACTTGTTACTAATACTAGTAAGGCACCTGTTACTAGTAGCAATGCACTTGTTACTAGTAGCTTCTTGTTACTACTAGTAACGCACCTGTTACTAGTAGCGTGGCACTTGTTTCTACTAGCCATGTCTATGGACGGGAAGTCCATACCACAGCAATCCATATGGACGGGAAGTCTTCCCCACTCCTCACTTCCGGGGTGACGATGTTTACCGATGTGGGAGTGGGGTCGTCTCTCTGACTTCCCAAGGCATGTGCCCAAGGCATACCTGCCCCCGGACCGTAAGCGCATGATGCTTTCAGGCCCCACAAGCGCGGCCTGTGCCCTTGGACCCGTACTACCGGGCGAATGACCGCCGCTACGACCATGAGGCCAGCTGCTTGAGAAGGGTCTGTGAGTGAAACCAGCTGATCGTTCCTTTCCGTGATCTAATCCTTTTGCCAGTTTTTTTCCATGTGGATTTTCTCATGTGCAATCTGCAACACACAGCGGACCAGGGCCAGTCAGGCCTGCTCGTTCCATCATTTTGTCCTGCACTGGGATCAGATTGGCTTGAAGTTGAAGCCTTTGGATGGCCTTCCCAGAGCTCATGTCATATACTTACATGGTGGTGACTTGGTGTCTTTGGATACCTGGGGTGATCCTGGGGTGTGCGTCTCATCAAATGCATGACGTGAGCGCTTCCGGCCGGACTGCGACCGCAGGGTGAGCGTGAGCCGCGTGAGCCTCGTGAGCGGCTCGAGCCGCGTGAGCCGCGTGAACCGCGTGAGCGGAGGGTGACGGCTGGCATGTTTCCCGCGCCGGGTCGGTGGGGTTCATCGCCCCGTTTCGGGTGGGAAAACACGTGGGGAACCGTGAACGTCCAACATCATCTAACTCCCAACCGTGGGAAGGTCTTCATGGGGGACGAGTTCGTCAAAGAGAACTTGCCAGGAACTCGGTTCGGGTTGTTTGCGACCTCAGGTTGGACAGTGTCCAAATTCATGATATGTCCATCCCACACCCATTGAGGGACACTTGACCACCGAAGTGTTTTTTGGCTAATATGTGTGAAGACATTTTGCCCGTGTTCGTGTGAACTTGTTCAATACAGGTGAGTTTAACTTGTTGAGTGGAACAACGGTCGTTGTTATCGTTGATAGTGCGCCTCGCCGGAAATTTCAAAATTTGTTTATAGTTTGTGTTTGATGATAGCTCTTTCGGCAATGGCCCTGAGAGATCCCAGACCTTCACAATCTTGAAGAGGTTTCCTTCTAAATTCCTATACTGAATTATGTCTGGCGCTTGAACTGCTGTTGATACTGTGACGAAGCGTCTTGGGGTTGGGGTCACTCACAATTTGGGTTCTTCTGGGCAATAAGGCCGCCACTCATGGAGAATGAGCTGGAGTTTTACATCAAGGTCCGTTGCACAGGTCCTTTCTTTGTGTTTGCCACACTCCCTGCAGCCCAGAGTTTGGGTGGCACCCCGGTAATTATTCTCCAACCTGTTTAACTTGAGCGGGAGAGATCAAAAGGCTCAGAGTAGCGCGTTCTGTGTGTTCTGTAGGGGACGAAGGCACAACATGTTGGACACGTCGGCCACGTTCGGCCCAAAACGTTTGGTCCAAGGATCAAAGCGCCCCTTCAACTGCGACAGGAAGAATCTGGAAGAATAATATACTGGTACCTAT